TGATGAGCTCCGGCGATAGTTGCATGTGAACCACTGTATCCTTGAACAACACGTCTATCGAACTTCCCGTGTCTACGAGCATTCTTCTAACCTGGCATCCTGCCACCACCCCTTGTATTTCTAGGGCGTCCATGGACGAGAGTATGCAAGCTTCCTATGGCGCCCTGTTGAAGCTGATATCGATCGCCTCCTGTACGTCTGCCGATGCCGCTCTCAGACGGCGATTCGCTTCTATTTTTTCCCTCAGGTCCACCGTCCCCGAAATAGCCTCGATGGTCAGGCGCACCCGTTCGGGCGCGTTATCTTGATCGAGGTCATATGGTGGGGTGGCAGCTCTTCCCTTTCCTTTTCCATACCGGCCACGCACGCCCGGTGCACTCTTTCATCAGGCTTCTTGACGAAGTCATTGAGCATCCCTCTGTCAGCCAGGCCATGCAACTCAGTCTTCAATTGATAACAGTCAGCCGTATGGTGTCCCACCTCTCGATGAAAGTCACAATATCGATCCAAATTCCGTTCGTTGGGCTGTCCCCTCATGGGGCCCGGCCACTTGATGTGATACCCCTTCTCCTTGACATGTTGGAGTATGTTTTTCAGTGTGTCGGTATACTCAGCAAAGTGTCCCGCTCCCCTGGGCGCCGGGCGTCCGGCGTCCATTCTTCTTGGCGGGGGATTCGTGGGCGCGTACCCCGCACCGCTAGGAGGGTGCGGCCTCCTCACCATTTCCACCTCTTCCCCTCTCGTCTTCCGTCTGTCTGCCCTTCTGGCTGCCAAAGTTTCTTCGAGCATGATCACCTTCTGCACTCTGTGATCCAAATCTTCGGTGCACACAACGTCTCTTTTTGCCAACGACCTGCACAACTCCTCGTTGGTGGTACATTCATTCAGGCATACTCCCAATACCGACGGCTGCGCATCCTTCACTGCCAAGGCCACGGACAACCACCTTTCATAAAACTCCCTCAACGCCTCTCCATCTCTCTGCTTGACCTTGAACAGGGCGCCTATGGTCAGGGTGCGACGCTTCCTGCTAGCGAACTTCGCAAGAAACATCTCCACAAACTGCTCGAAGCACTCAATGCGCCCTTCTTCGATCTGGTAGTACCAATCGAGGACTACGCCCGCGAAAGTTGACGGAAAAACTTTGCACAAGGTGGCGTCTGTACTGTTGTAGAGCTGCATTTTGGTAAAGTAACCGTTGAGGTGGTCTTCAGGATCTGCGGTCCCATCAAATGTGGGGAGTGGGGGAATGTTGGTACCCGCAGGCTCTACTAGTATGTTATGCGCCAAGGGTTGTTTTACGGGACCGTGACGTGACAGGCGCCCCAAAATTCCTCCGTTCCATCCCCCTGCGTCCGGCCCTTCATGCTCCCGTGGGCGCCACGAACTGGGACGCCTCGGGTATCCCGACTCACTTTCCGTCTCTGCCACCCTTTCTCTTTTCTTCGTTGGGCTGGGCGTCATTCCTCCGCCCCTTTTAAGAGCATCGACCTCCATCCGAAGCGCCTCAATCGCTCCGTCCTGGTCTTCGATGATTCTAAACAGTTCTTTCTTCGTCACTGAGGCGCCTTCCAACCCTCGGAACACGCCATCGCTTTCTTCCCCCTCCTCCATCTCGGGCGTCAGCCCTCTTAACTGCTCCGACTGGTCTTCCGTAATCTCTTCTCTCTCTCTTTCTCCATTCATTGACGTCTCCTCACTCATGACTCCTGGTTATATTCCCCTTCCTGGCGCGCCAATTGTTTGTGCCACGATACCCGCCGAAACTCCAGGAACTTCCCCACGCCTGGCGCCTGCCTACACACACGCACGAAGAGGAGGGCGCCTGGGCCCGTTAATCCTCCGACGCCCAAGTTAGTTCCTTAGAGAGGGAAAAGGTCTCAAAGTAGGAGTTTTAGTGAGAGAGTCCAACCTGTGTAAATGCTACCCACTGCCCCTATTTATACTCACCGAACCCGAGGTTGATCTCCTCCACGTCACTGTCCCAATTTAATGCTTTGTACCCCCTTTGTCAGACACCCAACTGCTTTGTCAGGCTTCTGACACGCGACAGGCGCCCGCAGGCGATGGACCACCTGACAGCTTGTCTCCTTTGGCTTTTAGTGTTTCGTCCTTATATGCCCTTCCTCTTGCCTGGGCCTGGAGGTATTTTGCAGGCTCTTTTCTGGGCCTTGCCCCCCAATTCTACTTCTTGGGGGCCCAGACCACTAATTGCTGGGTAGTACCCCCAACACAATTCTTGACCATCATCATTTGAGTTGTGCCTTGGGAACTCCCTCCCCTAGAATAATTATCTCATTCAAGCAGTTCAATTCTGGATTCTCTCACAAGGAGCTTTTATCCCGATCCGGGAAAAAAAAAAACCCGCGGCAGGCCTTTTCCCCGGGCGACGCGACGATAGTAATGGATCGAGCAAACATCGACATCCTGTTCGATACATATGACAGCAATCAAAAGTCTTAAAATTGTTATAAATCGAACAAAAAATCTAGGATTACCGATCTGGCTGAGTCGCGGACTAGGTCGCTCTCTTTAAGACGTTCCCGGCACTGCCTCGTTATTCGCACAACAGACTATCAGCCGGTCGCCTCCAGGATAAAACAGTTACTCTTTTGATTTGCTCAGCGGTTTTGTGCGAAAAATTGGAGCTCTCTGAATCGCACTCTCTCTCGTGTTTATGCTCTCTGTGGTGTGTTTAGAGGGTCTGGGGCGTCTCCTATTTATAGGAGCAGAAAACCCAGAATATTCCCTCTTTCTTTGGGAATAAGTCACATTTTAATTAGAGAGATAATTACTCTCATAATTAAAATATAATCTATTAAGATAATTATTCCTAATTATCTCCATAATATTTCTTTTATTAATTATCCATCTTAATTGTATTATGGAAAAATACTGGATAATTAATTAGGAATTTCTTTATAGCTTTTCAAAACTATTCATCCCAACACATTTGCTCGACTTGGACTCGATATATCTTTTAGTCTATTATGCTTTAGAATTTTAGGTTTCATTGTTTTTTTAAACGAAAAATCTTTGGGGCTAGAATTTCTAGACTAAATTTAGAGTAGTGATTTGAATATGTTTATCTAAATCAATTTGCTAATTATATCCAATTTTATTATAAATTAGCATTGAGTCGAATACCTAAAATCGAAAAATTCATAAAAACTTTACCAATTATGCATCCAGAGGAGGGCTCGACCGGGACCCGGGGTGGCCACTCCTGCATCCGCCACTATAGGGTTTGAGAGATAACTCGTGTTGTGCTCATTGTTAGAGCTAGGGCTGTCAATTTGGTTTGGTTAACCAAACCATTAAGTATGAAAAAACAAAAACCAAAAACCAAATTCCAAAAACCAAAACCAAAACCATTAAGGTCCTTATTGGTTTTTGGTTGCCAAAAACCAATAAGGGCCTTAATGGTTTTGGTTTTGGTTTGGATAACCGAAAAACCAACATGTACTCATACACTCATATTTATTCCTATTCCCCTTCTTTTTATTGAATAATGTCATAATAATGGTAAATGGCCATAACAAATTATTGGTTGGCATGCATGATTGCATGTCAAAAGAAACAAAAACAAAAAAAAAATTTTTGTTGATAAATAATTTTATTCTTATTGGTTTCTATTGATTTTTCGGTTTTAACCAAACCAAAACCATTAAGTTGCTTATTGGTTTAAAACCAAAAAACTGAAACCATTAGATTTCCAATAGATTTGGTTTCGGTTAAATTCAAAAAACCAAAAACAAATGGACAGCCCTAGTCAGAGCCCTATTGGGTTGCCGGGTATTACAGCATTTGTGTGGGCTTTATGCTTCGGGGTTTTCTCTTGTCATTGTTGTATTTTGCAGTGCTGTTAAAGCCGACCCGAGCCGGTCGGTCGGACCGGTAAAACCGGCACCCGGACACCAGCCCGGGTCGGAAGCCTCCAATAGCCGAAACGGTCAGAAATATCGGTTTTTGAGCGGCTGAAATGGTTAACCATTTGAGCCGCTCGAACCGTCCGACCGGTTTTTGGGTTTTGGCCGTTTAGAATTAAAAAAAAAAAAATTGACAGAAAGCTTCTAGGGTTCAATCGCGCCGGGGTGGGATTTCTCGACGATGCAGCCGCTGCCGGCAAACCCATCGTCCTCTGTGGTTTCACTAGCGCCATCGAACTCCAACTTCTTCTTCGATCGAAGCGCGGTGTTCCTTCCCGATGGCGGCTGTTGGGTTCTCAACCCTCGTATGCAGAGAAGAGCTCAGCCAACTGATCGTTGTCCTCCAACCCTGTCGCTTCATCTCCGTCGCTGTAAGGGTGAGAGAGGCAGAGAGAATTTGTGAATTGTGGTTGTAAGAGAGAGATGCATAAAGAGTTTGGGAAGAAATGAAACAGAGATGGAGAAGAAGAGAGAGGGGGGAGGTGGTTGGGTTCAGGGGAGAGCTGTGAGCGGCGCTCTCAAGGGTTGGTGGGGATTAGAGTTAGGGTTTTTACTTTGTTGTTATATATATATATATGTGGTAAATTTATTAAATGGTACCTGTAAAGTAAATTGCATTTTAGTCATTAAATTGTTAAATTACTACCTTAGTTGTTTTCTACTTATGATATTATATTTTATATAAGGTGTCGGTTCTCTAACGGTTTTTTAACGGCTCAATACCGGTTGAACCACTAAAGTCCGAGCCGTTCACAATCCGGGTCATACTCCGGTTCGGTTTTGACAGCATTGGTATTTTGTATGTGAACTTATATACTGGGCTCCGCCTATTTGCTATCACAATGAACCAATTTAAAAAATGGTATGTTTATACGGTGGCTATTACTTTTCAGCACCGTACTAAAATTCGGTGGTTAATAAGAATTCACTTTTAACTATGTTACCCACCATTAAAATACTTGGCGAAATGTATTAACCACCATAAATAGACTTTTAACCACCATTTTACCATGGTAATTAATGACTCTTTTTCTTGCCGTGCACTTTCCTGTTGATATAGAAGCTCAGGCCTGTTTCTTCATTGAATAATACTATATATGATATTCACATCAAGAATATACAAAACACATTAACACATACATAGCATTACTTCTCAAGTTAAATATCTCAATCAATGCAAGTAATCTAAAAAATTATACTTTTACATAACACACATCAACAAGCAAGCTTCAAACCATCATCGTTCACACACTTACAAACGCCTCTAATTCGTCATTGTTCTCGTAATATGATCGAGAACATGCAATTAACAGTTGTGAATCCTCATGGTGTCGACATAAGATTTGCCGACAAGCTCTCGGCTGAAATAGCCCTTGTAGTAGTCGGCGACGCTGATCCTTCTGAACTCAGGTTGGGAGAGGGTATTCTTCAGTAGGCTAGGGGCAGGGCCCAAATCCCCATCCAGCTTCGGGCTCAGGAATGTGGCCAACGAAATCCTTTCCTTGTCAGAGTTGACAGTCGCTCGATGCTCGACGCTCTTGTATATCCCGTTGCTCACTATCTGAAATTTAGAGAAGAAGAAGAAGAAGATAGTGATCATAGTAGATCAATGAGATTTATAGATACTCCTTGGCTCATAATTTTTTTTACCTCAAGAATGTCGCCGATGTTGATGATGAATGCATTTGGGAGAGGAACAACCGGAACCCAGTGACCGTCTTGCTTGATCTGCAGGCCTTGGGTATCGGCGGTGAGTTGTAGTAGTATGGTGAGGCCGACGGCGTCGGAGTGAGAGTTGAGACCCATCACCAGCTCCGGCTGCGGGCATGGAGGATAGTAGTTCATTCGAAACGTCTGCCACCCTTGTTCAAACAATATTCCAATGTCGTGTTGGTCCATCCCTAGAGATTTCGCCATTAGGTTGAGGATCGTCAGCGCCAGAGTCTTGAGTGCTGCTGAATATTCTTCCAAAGTTTCCCTGATAGTTTATTGGAATTGACGGATGAGAATATTCGATATTCATTTTGCAAGGAAGAAAAAAAAATCCAATTTTGAATTTTCTACTATATTTTTTTTTGAACATAAGTATCTCTCTATTATCAAAATTTAACAAATATATCTTTCCATCTAGAATTCCATTAGCTAACCCAATTAAGCGGCGGGAAGTGACCAAATCACCCCTCGCATATTAACTAACATTCTTTGTTTTAGCTAAGTAAAAGACCTAAAAACAATTCAAATGTGTAGAAAAATAAAATTATAAATGAAGTAAGAAAAAATAATTAATCAAGGATTTATGTCTAAAAATAGAGAAAAGAAATTATGTAATAAGTGAGGGAAAATTTTGTTATTCTCTTTCCATTAACAGTCTACTAATGGGATTTTGATCGGAAGGGTATATGTTTGTTATGTTTTTATAATATAGGAACACATTTGTGCAAAATAATAATAGAAGAATAATTTTGTTAATTTGCAATAGTATAAAGCTATTTAATACTATTAAAGTGAACAACAAAAATTATGAGGTTAACAAATTTATCCAAACCCAAGTGTATTTACTATGGTTGTCAAACCATTGTTATGCCCCAAGTATTAAAGAAAAATGGGCTGGAAGACCAACGAGTCAAAACCAGTTAAAATTCATCAAAATTGAGAGAAGAGTGACACTACTGGAACATTTAATTTTCTATTTCTATCCAAAATCTTATCATTTTGGTGAAATTAACTAACAAAAGAAATAAATTAGTTGGATTCAAATATGAACATGTAGATGTTCACCATAATTGTCAAAATACTGTTATGCCGGCCGACACAATTAGGTACAACACGGTAGTAAAGAAAAATCGATCGGAAGATTACTGGTATAAAGCGGTAGTCAAAACCAGTAAAAATAATCAAAATGGAGAAATTAAAAGAGTGATACTAATGGATAGTTTAATTTTCTATCCCTTTACAAAATGACATGCTTTTGGTGAAATTAACTAACAAAAAGAAATAATTTTGTTGCATTAAAGTATGAACAATTAGACATTGAAGTTATTTATTGAATTCAAATGTAAGTGAATGTTAACGTTAAATGTTGCATTTAAATATGACGGTTCGTCATTTTATTTATTATGTAATATTTTATTTAAATATGGATGGAGATTATATGTAGATTGTCTTAACATAGATTATGAAAATGCAGAATTCATTTGATTTTAAGTATTTTCCATTTCATATGTTTTGGTACGCAAAACCGACATATAAACTAGTTGTATCCTGATTGGATCATACTACTTGCTAAACCGGCGTAATGGTATAATCAATGAATACTCATACCCAAATATAACATAAGTTAACAGAGTTTGAGGATGTATACTCATATCCATTTGGGAGGTCTTGAGTTGGATTTAATCAATGAATTTGAGTTTTTTACCCATACCCACTTCAAAATAACAGTTTGGTATTCAAACGTAACATATTTTATCATTTAATAACTAAACTTACATTGTTTCCAAATAAGTCTAAAAAATAGTGTTAAAATGAAAATATGGTAATTATTTTTTTACCTTAAAAGTTAATTCCTAAAATTTTAAAAATTTACAAACAAATCCAAATATTTATGTGGAGTTAAAATTATCTAAAATAAATGGGTAAATCCAAACTAAATTTATTTATAATATTGAAGCAATGTATATATATATATATATATATATATATCCTTTTTAGCCTATCCAATAAATACCAATCTATATAAACTTCACCCATCCAAAATCCATAATCAAATTGGTTAACTTGGATTTACGTAAAATTACTCATGAGTAGCTCTGCAAACCCTAATAAATTTTTATTCATATAAGAATGGTATCAAAGGGAAGAAAAAAAAAACGAGAATACTAAATTTTTATACATTGAATTTCATAAAATAGATTGGAATTGATCTTTAATAGCCCTACTGTTGATAGTCATGAGAGATGTCACGTTACGATCGAGGAAGTCCCGAAGAATGATGGCTAAAAGGAACGAAAATGGTCACCATATAATCTTTCGGTTTGATTTGGTTGCTTGTGGCCATCATTTTGTTTTGTTGGTTACGAAGTTCTTTTCTTCTATTTACGTCACTAAAACAGATGCCCTGAATGCTACTACAAATAGACGTGCAATTGAATTTGATTTTCTCCTCTGAATCCAAAAGGTCAACAATTGTATCACTTCAGTCGTGGCAGGTGAGATTAGACAGTCTAAACAAACATTAAACGTGTAATAAGATGCTTAAATTCAACGTGAAAACAGTGGTAAAATATGGTGTCGCGGCACTATAAAGTTATTGGGGTTGGTTAGCTATCACTAGGGCGGCAAATGAGCCAAATTGCTCGCGAGCAATTCGGCGTTCGAATAGGAAAAAATTCGTTCGACACTCAATTCGTTATTTAACAAGCCGGTTCGCGAGCCAACTTGTTAGTTAACAAGCCAAGCTTGAGCTAGACCATGCTCAGGTTGATAAGCTCGCGAGCTAGCTTGATTCGGTGGCTTGTTAATATTAGGGCTGTCAGTTCGGTTGCCGGTTAGCGGCTAACCGACTGGTCTAACCGGTAACTGCCGGTTAGCGGCTAACCGGAAACCAAAAAAATGGGTGGCGGTCGGTTGTCGGATGAGTTCAGTGGTTAGGCGGTTAGCCGAAAAACCGAGGCCGGCTAACCGACCGACGCTAAACGACCCTGTTTTGGCCTAAATAAAACCACCCACCTCTCCCTAAACCCTAGCAGTTGTGAGCAGCCCCCATCCTCTAATCCTCTCCCATCCTCCCTCCTCTGACCTCTCATTCCTCCATCTTCCCTCCTCCTCCCCCATCCTCCCTCCGACGACGACTCCGGCCGCCCTCCCCTGCCTCCTCCGCTACCCCTCCTTCCACCGCCACCACAACTTGCCGCCCTGCCTCCGTCGCCGCGCGCCTCGCCACCTGTCGCTCCCTGCAGATCTGTTTGCATGGGCCATGGAGAAAGAAGGTGAGAGGAGTAGATAAGAAAGGAGTGGTGGAGTTTTTTTCGTTTTATTTATTTATTTTTTGTGGAAAATGTATTTTTTTCGGTTGGTCGGTTAACCGAGCCTAAAACCGGAACCGGCCGGTCGGTTGGCCGGCTAACTGTGACCTCTCTTCGGTCGGTGGTCGGCAGCTATAAGGGGTGTCTCGGTTTAACCGATAACCGGGTTTTCGGTTAAACCGAAATCGACCGACTGCCACCCCTAGTTAATACTAATGTGTATGAAATTTAGATGTTATTTATAGTATCTAGTGTTCTTTCTATCATTTAAATTCTTGTGTTTACACATTTTTCCAGCAAGAATGATTTTAAATCGAGCTCATCTTGAGCCGAGCTTGTACTCAGTTTGACAAGCTATGTTAATGAGCATTTATCGAGCTCTATCGAGTCGAGCTCGAGCTAGTTTATTTTTGGGTAAATACAATATATTAGCCACATCTATTATGAAGCAGGGAATTATAGCCACAACTATTGAAATTCAAATTATTAGCCAAACGTTAACTATCTGTTAACAATTTCGTTAGTAATACTGACTAAACTTTTATGTTTTGAAGTTATAAACTAAAAGCATTCCTACGTGGCCGCTGTCGTGGCCGATGACGTGGCCTTCTCCGTCAAAAATTCAATAACAGTAACAGACAGTTAGCCATATCTTGACCTGCAACAATAGTTATGGCTAATAATTTGAATTTTCATGGTTGTGGCTATAATTCCCTGCTTCATTATTGTTGTGGCTAATATATTGTATTAACCGTTTATTTTTATTCAAACCGAACTCGAGCTCGAGCTGGATTATCAAAATTCGAGTTCGAGCCTAGCTCGAGCCAAAAAATTAATAAACGAACCGAGCTCAAACTATGCAAAACTCGGCTCGGCTCGTTTGCAACCCTAGCTCTCACAGTCTATTAATACGAGGAAAGGAAACATAGCATAAATTAGTTAAAATGCATATTTTTGTTGGAGTTCGAAGCTAAATATGCGATCAGTTCTAATACTGAAACCAAACTTTTTTTGTTTTGTTCTCTCCAGATTTTAGAGGATGAAGGAACTAGTTTAGAGAGAATTGAACCTGAGTGGGAGAGGGAGGTTGGGGAAGAGATGAGGCTTCCTGAGATGCTTCGGGAGGGCGGTGGTGAAGAAGATGTCTCCCCAGTCCAGCTTCTGCTCCTCGGAAACCACAAACGCTTGCCCAAATCCTTCAATCTCTCCAGGTCTCTGCCAGTACTTCTGCTTCTCCTCCATTGGCAGGTTGAAGAATCCCTCAACCTCTGCTTTCACCCTGTCAACCAACGACTCGCTCACTCCATGGTTTATCAACTGCACAGAAATTAAAAACAGACCAGCAGGCTAAGAAAATTAACAGTAATTCAAAGAAATGGGTATAAGCTCTAGTACTGCTTGAGGCAAATTAAAGGACCTGGAAGAAACCCCAGTGTTTGGAAGCGTTATGGAGCCTATCCAGCTCTGCAGTACTATTATGGCCACCTTCATCATCATGATGAGATGTTGAGAGTTTGTGCAAATCAATGACAGGAAGCTGAAGGGGTAAAGTGGCGTTGGGAGGGTGTTGATCGGGACGGATATAGCGGGGAGGGATGCCTAATTTGCGGAGGGGTTCCTTGGCAAGTTCTTGAACGCAAGCCACTGGGAGAGAGCTCCCTAGCTTTGTTAGCTCTGAACCTTCCATGGATGAATAATTCTCTCTCTCTCTCTCTCTCTCTCTCTCTCTCTCTCTCTAGTCTAAGAACTAGAAAGGCTATTATATATTATATATATATATGGCAGTTGGCAGTTTCTATGGGGTAATTAATATGTTAATAAATGAGTAACACGCGCCCAATATAAAAATAAAATCTTAACTAGCTAGCACGGATTTTAGGAATTCAGAATGTAAATGAATATGAAATTATCGATTTATCATGTACTGTATCGTTTATTATATCATTTGACAATAGAAATGTGTTTTCAAAAGTTTTAAAAGAGTAAGATATACTCAACATTGTTTTGTTTTCTTTATGCGAGTCGAATGGAAAGCGAACCAAGTTTTTTTTTAAAAAAAAACCCACACTCAATCTACCATGCTAATTACAAAAGCGATAAAACTCGTCCTGCACCTGAGCTTGTCAACACAAGATTTAATTTGTTGTTTTGTTATTTGGTTGCGGGTCAGATGGAAAGCAGAGCGAGTTTTTAACAAAAAAATATACACCCGACCGAACACATCAATAAAAAAGAGGGTAAAATTCAATCCCGACGGAAAAATCGTCGACACCGGGTTTAACTTGCTCTTGATCCGAAACTCGTCAACACCAGGTTGAACTAGTTTTGACCGGATCAATTGTTTTGTGTTCGATCCGAGTCGGATTGAAAGCGCGTTGAATTTTCAACAAAATCCACACTAATAGAACCAGTTAATTACAAAATCAAGTAAAACTCGCTCTCGAACCAAAACTCATCAACACATAACCTACTTTGACCGGGTCGAGTATTTAATTTTTTTTATATGGGTCGGAAGAAACGCTGCCCGACTTTTTAAAAAAATCCACACCCAACCTCTCTGAACCCAAAACTCTTCCATACCGAGTTCAACTCACTTTGACGGGGGCGAATTATATTGAATACCCATGGGTATGAGCTCAATTGTTTAAAGTTTAAATAGCACAAAGGTTTTGATTAAGCGGACATAGTTTTTAAGAAAATCCAGACCCATCCTAATCCGTCAATTACAAAAGCAGGTGAAACTCTCGCTCCAGACATAAAACTCATCACCACCGAGTTGAACTCGCTTTGATTGGGTCCAATTAGGTTGAATACCCATGAATTTGGATAAGACTGATAATTAAAGAAAATACCTTTAACTAGGTCGAGTTTTTAACAAAATCCACATCTGACCCAACCAACTAATTATAAAAGTGGATAAAACTTGCCCCCGAATCAAAACTCGTCAACACTGAATTGAACCTGATTTGACAGGGTCGATTGTTTGGTTTTTTAGGTGCAGGTAGGGATGTCGATTTGAAGCCGCCCTGTTGGGTATTACCTGATCTGACCCGCAATGGAGTGGATATTACCCGATCCGCAGTAGCATGGAGTGAGGCATGCGTATCTATTTTTTGACCCGTCCTGCCCCGCACAGTCCCATTCTTGGTCAATTCTATCTCAATTTCTTACAATATCTATTCATATTTTTCGTATTTTGACCTTTTGTCAACTATTCAGACTTGATCTTTCAACTAATTAGTCCCAGTTACCCACTCTATTATTCACTATTTGATTCATAAAGCTTTTTCTCTTCGTTTTATCGTAAAAAGTCAAATGTTATGTGTATTTTGTATTCAAATAACATGTTAGAGTGGGTTGACCCGCATGCCCCGTACCCACACGGGTATTACCAAAGCCCGAGCAAACCCTTCAATTACAAAAACGGGTAAAACTAGCTCCTAGCCTAAAACTTGCCAACACCAAGTTCAACTTGGATAGTCCGATCGAATTAGGTTGATTTAACCACTTTGACCAGGTTGATTGTTTTGTTTTTAGGTGCGGGTCAAATGATAGCTACCAATCCAATCCTTCAATTACAAAATCGGATAAAATTCGTTCTTGACCTAAAACTCGTCAACATCAAGTTCAATTAGGGTAATCCCTATCGAATTAGATTGATTTAATCTGCTTTGACCGGCTCAATTATTTATCTTTTAATTTTTTCTCATATCTTCTCCACCACTAATTGCTTTATCTTCCTTATCTTTAAATATCTTTCTCTCCCAAATTTAATTAATGTTCTTCTTTCTTCCTTATTCAATATAGCTAGCGAGCCAAACTTGTTAAGATTCATATAAGTAGTGATAGCAATTTTAGATCCGATCCGTGTGATCTAACCTGTCCCGACTTGTTTTGGGCAGGTATTGCCTGACCCGGAGTAGCGTGAGACTGGACATGAATATTTCTTCTGACCTGCCCTTTCTCTTTTTCGATCCGTTCTATCATGAGTTGTGTCAATATCAATTTGTATGTCTCTTCTTTAACATTTCTAAAATCATATTTTCAGCTCAAAAATTATAAGACTCTGTATTTCTACTATTTAGAATCAATTATTTCTTCTAATATATTTCTCATTAATTTATGAAGTGTTTTCTTAATATTTGTTTGTAAAAGAATTAAATATGGTGCTCTTTTTTTATATAACATATAAGGATGAGTCTTCTCACTCCACCCCATACCCGTATGTGTATTACCTGACCCAACCCTCACTTAATGCGGGGCGAGTATGAGTATTGAGTTACTCGCCCGCCCCATTGCCATCGCTACATATAAGTATATCGATGTATAGCTTGTGAGTTAGACTATTGATAATTAATAGGTTTGTTAGATTATGAATCTCAACATATATGAAATTTAAGACTTTGAGTTTGTGAGAAAATATGTCTCATATAATTTAAAAATGAAATTAAGTATTAGTTAAATAATAAGTACTATGAAATAACATTATATAAACGGTTTAAAATTTAACTATCAACCAAATTATATCGTACCAATATATTCTCACCTCTTTTTATTTTATTTTTATGGGTAACCTGTGAAATATATTAACTGGAAGGATCAATTACATCGTCCAGACGAAGCTGGTCTACAAGGAACATTGATGGTCTATCTATCCACATTTCTCTACTATCCCAATGGGTCTCACTGTGGGATTCGTTAGCAGATACTAACTGATATCCAAATTACATGAACTAATATCCAAGTACTAAAGTATCTAGAGAGCACAGACTAGTATTCAAAGTTTGCTAACTGATATCCACCATGAATCTATTATCCCAAATTCACAAACTAATATCTAGACAACACAAAATAGTATCCAAACAGCACATAATTAGTATCCAGATAACACATAAGAGTATCCATATAACCTATAAGAGTATCCATATTGAATACTAGTTGGTTGATTGTGGATATTAGTTGGTATCTGCTATCTGGATACTAGTTTGTGATTTTTTGAATACTAGTCTGTGTTATCTAGATACTTTAGTAAAATCCGCAGACTTGGATACTAGTTCATACATTTTGGATATTAGTTAGTATATACTAACAACTTATGCAGTTAGCAGAATAACTAGGCTGCTCATTGTGAGCCATAATGTGTGTTGCGTTATTAGCCGTATATCTCACATGATTTATACTAGCTGTGCTTGACCCCGTCGCTTGCAAGAGGCTGGTAATGCGGCTGCATAGAAGGCCTACCTTAGTGTGATAATCTTCTGGATGCCTGAGCTTCTCAACCAGTGATAGGCAATACAACTCAAGAAACGAGTGTTGGAAACCAATTTGGTGTGCTAGTTGGGCTCCAAATTCCGCTGCTTATGCTTCCGCCATCTCCACCTTATACGAACCACGTACCTTTTTGGCCGCTGCGACAGGAAACATCCTTGATGATCCCTGAACACTGACCCTAAACTGATGCCTCCATTAGCGAACAACCCAGCGTCGGTGTTTATTTTAATATGACCAGCAGGGTGTCTTATCCAAACTCCGGTTGGCTGGTGATCACTACTCACCACCTCCGGCCCTTGATTCTTCTGATATTCTTCAAGAATAGAAATCGCTCGCTGGACAATCTCGTCCTCGGGTTTTGTGTCATTGAAGAGCTGAGCATTACGCTCCTTCCAAAGTTCCGACAAGACCATCGCCCATTGCTCTACAGTTTCGTTAACCTCCTGCAGTAGCACCTTCGTGACCCACGCTAGGCAATCCGGCACACCACTTACCGCAAAAGCTCTCGCCCATGGTGTTCCTCGACGTATTTTGCATCTCCAACTGTATTCGAAGAAGTATGGCTTTGGGTTTTTACCTGATTGCAGAACGGGCACTCATCAGTCCATTTCGGATTCTTTGCCGCCACTTTCTCTCCGGCAGGCAGGATTTCCAGGGTGAACCGTCACATGAAGTGTTTTATTTTCGGCAATACTTTCATAGTCCATATTGCCTTCCATAGTTTCTCATCGCCACTTGGGGCTACCCCTTATTTTGCCATAAAGCTCGAGAGCCACTTTCTGTACCCACTCTTTGCTGTAGAATGACCGTTCTCACTATGCCTCCAAATAAGTCGATCACGTTCGCCAGCCCCGCACAGAGGTAGTGACAGAATGGTATGGGCAATGGAAGAAGGGAATCACATGATGACCAGATCCACGTTCCAGCTTTCGGTCGCCGGATCTATACGAGGTCGCGGACTGTAGAGTCCACCGGAATAATAGTGGGGGGTGACTCAACAAAAGTTGGCTCTCCGGGTAGTCATTGATCACCCCAAATCTTCACTTGTGCGCCATTGCCTATCCTCCACTGAAGCCCGTCAAAGTCTTGTGCACTTAGTAAGCTCCTCCAGATGTAGCTCGGCTTGCTGCCTAGACGAGCGTCCAAAATAGAGCAGCTTTTATGATCTTTCGCCACTAATAACCTGGATATAAGCTACTCGGGGCGAAGATGAAGTGACCATAGTTGCTTTGCAAGAAGCACCATGTTAAAGCCCCAGAGATCTCTGAATCCAGCCCGCCATCTTCTTTTAGAGTAGTTGGCTCTTCTCGTCGGATCCAATGAGCTCTTTTCTCCGCAATCTTCTGTCCCCACCAAAAATTGGTGAGCATACTGTGAACCTCATCAATCAGGCCATCCGGAATTTTGAAGACTGACATTGCATAAGTGAGTTGTGCTTGTGCAATCGATTTGATGAGTACTTCCCGTGCGGCTACCGACATCGTTCTCTCTCTTAAGACCCGCAAACAAGTCCTTCTTGACTCGTCCCACCTCAGTGACTATAGAATTTAATAAACCAAATGCGGGGAGTGCTATAGAAAATCCAACACAAAAAATATATGATACCAATTAAGTATATAAACATGCGATCAACTACTATCTTTTTCACAATGACATTAATTCACATGTATCATATATACGATATAAATTATTAGGATATTCAACTTACAAATCATTTTATATTTAAATTTAGAGATTCGGCTATTTAGAATGAGAAATGAGTTGAGCTCGAACCAAACTAACGAATTGAGCCGAACCGAAGAGAACATGAGCTACGATTTCAGTAAACGAGCTGAACTTGAATTCAACTTTGTTTATTAACGAGCATAGCTCGAACTAAACCAATACTCGACTAAACTCTGCGTCTTTGTTGCAACCTTATTCTTGAAACCATATACATTGTCCACTTCTATAGTATTAGTCAATCATTTCTAGCTTCTCATCATGATTTTTCCTCCAAACACTGGGAGTGGAACAACAAGAGATCTTACATCGTTGCAACCCAAAATGAGGCGTCAATTCATTACACAAAGATCACACAGCCGAAGAAGCAGTGGACTGGAGCGATCAGATCAGATGTCAATGAAGTGGCGGCACTCGCGGGGGTGGCGCTTGGGGTCGTGGCAGTAGTTGTAGATCATGTGGGTCTGCCGAACCCACCGCAGCAGCTTCTTCCCGGCCTTGTCCAGCCCTTGGGTCAGCGGCCATTGCGGCCTGTTCTTCCTCCCGACCGAGCCCGCCATCGTCTGGATCTCCAGGTTTCTGTAGGAGGCCGTGAATGGGGCCTCGTTCCAGTCCGTTTTCACGAGCCCGCCTCGCGTGGCCCATTTCTCGCCGTTCCAAATGCTGGCCTTGATCTTCATGGGCTTCGTGTTCGGGTACGGCACTCCCACGGCTTCCCTGTTGTTGAACACTCGAACTGGGATGTCGTCCACAAACACACTGCACGTCCGCGGCCAAATTAAACGCACCGCATTGCACACAATATAACTTATCATTTGTTAGAGAAAATCAATCGAAGTAAAACAACAATATAACGTGACATATATTGATTTTTGAAAGTTAAAAGGCATTTTCACCGACAATATCGTAATCAAGTTATTATATATGAACACGAAACCTTGTCATTCAATTAACATGTATTAAACAAACATTGTCATTCAATACTGAATTCTTCATTCACAATCGGATTAGGACAAGTTAGAGTCCCGAATATCTTACATGATGATGAGAGGATTCCAAAGAATGGTGTATTTGTGGAAGTCCTGCCTCGGGTCGAACCAGAGACTGAATTCCTGCTCCCTATGACCCACCTCGTGGGTGTACACATTTGTATGCAAGGTATAAGGGTCGTCGGTCAAATTCCCCAAGAACTCCAGATCGATCTCTTCATGTTTTTCTGCCGTCGTCAACTTGAGGTGCCCAATTCCGCAATTCGAACAATTTGATAATGAGTTCATTGACCAACAAAATGAAAAAAGAAAATGTTAATTTCATTATTACTTATTATTTAAGAGATGAAAATTACGTAGAATGTTGTGACGATTCCGGCGGTATTTCCAGGGGGAAGCTTCATTTCCACGTCGAACTTCCCAAAGAGGTAGGCCTTCTTGGACTGGAAGCCGGCGCCGGAGAGACGGTCGAGGGTCAGCGTCAGGAGCCTGCCGTCGTCGGAGATGTTGGCGTGATCATGGCCCCACGTGACGTCAACATCCCGGTGGAAATTGGCGCCGCAACACGCCAACAGGGAGCTGATTGTAATTAGGATAAGCAACGGGGAATAGGGCGAGGAACGTTCCCTAATCCAAATGCTTTCTCCCATTAATGATGAATTAGCGTTAATTATAATTAGCTCCTCCCTCCGCCTCCTGGTGTGGGTGAAGTTGATGGTTTGGTTACGTTAGGATTTGTTCTATAACCGGATAAATTGATTACGATGAATATGGCAAACAGTTGATTTTGTATGTATTACGTGAAGATTTCTCTCTCCTTCCTCCATGCAACGTGAGGGGGGTCAAACGGTCAACCTATGGTGGACAGATGTATATCTGCTGCGTCTTCTATATTTGGCCTGAATCTCAAGAATTTTTGGGGAATTGGGAGAGAAATGGAGGGAAAGAAAGGGGAGCAATGGCCAATGAGAAAGTGGTTTTGCTTGGATAATTATTATAAGCTTCAACAAAAACATTTAGCAGTGACATAACTAACTTACCGGTACGACGGTTATTGGCAAGCTGTCGGTGCGATAATCGGTGGTAACCGTTGGATCAGCTTCCTCCCCCGGAGTGGGACTGGGAGGCCCACTCTCGGGATAGATACTTTCCGCAGCCCCAAAGGCAAGGAGCCCCAGCGAGTTGTACAGCTCAACCACGATGTTTGTACTAGGTGTGGCGGTTCGGTTATCGGTTAACCGGCCGGTTAAACCAATAACCGATCGGTTATCCACTAACCGGTAATCGAAGGCTAGACGAAATAGTTTTGGTCTTAAAAGTGGGTCGGTTAACCGATAATCGAGATAACTGAGAAACCGAAACCTATTTCGGGTGATTTTCGGTAGGGGGAGTGGTTATTTCGGTTAATCGATAACCGGCCGATCGGTTATCGGTTATAACCAAAATAACCGAAATGCCACCCCTAGTTTGTACTGCTTGTGAGCTGTGCACCACCTGTTAGGCCCTCGACGTAGACTGTCACTTGGCCGCCGGCAGAGACGGGCTTAGGAAAGACGTCAAGAAAGAAGGGTAATCGCCACGGGATAGGAGCCTGCATGCAATGCGATCATCGTACCCAATACGCCAATACTACGATTACATTGTATAGAAGCTCATTTATACCAATATTATTAATTAATTATTAATATATAAAAGCCAAGGTTATAAGTTACTATTCATTAGTGTCTCACAAACTCCTCCAAGTGCAAGTAGGGAAGATTCAAGTCATTCTTTTACCCCACTCTCTCATGTTATAACCTTTGTGTTCATTTATTGTCCGTTGGGTCACATCTATTGTCATTAGGTTTCATCTATTGTTTATTGCTTTAATTATCCATTAGGTTATTGTGGGAGAAGCTAGGGTGCTAATTGCATAGGGGGTTAGCACCATGCTAACTAACATCTAAGCCGTCCATCACTATTTCAGATCTAATGGCTACAAATAGATAGAGGGTAGATTAGGGATAGAAGAAACAAAATTTTAAATTTTAAATTTATTCTGGATAGCAGCCGGATTTTGTGGGATACAGATGGTTTGCATTTATGTTAGGAAAATGGTTTTATTTTCCTTTTTTTTTGTGAACGTGAATGGAGAGTGTTTGCGTGGAGGGATACTATGTCGCCGCCGGCGAAGTTTGTAACATAATCACTACTTATGCTAGATTTGAAGAACACCACAAGGTTCTGTAAAATTGGAGAACACTATCAAAATAATGTCCAAAAAATAAGGAACACTACGACCACAGATCTGAAGATCACTACTACAACGTACAAAACCCTAATACTTGCAGAATCACTACAAATAATAGATTTGAATTTACTACTAGGTCAAAAAGTTGGAGAACACTAATGGTTGTGGGACCCTCGGTAATTGACGCAGTTTGCTCATACTTCTGGTCGGCTATTCCGTAGCTTCAACCACACTTGGCTCACATTAATTCCTAAAGTTGATAATTTGGAGACAATGAGGCAGTTGCGGCCAATCAGCTTATGCCAATTTGTTTACAAAATTATAACAAATATTTTGGCAGAACGTTTGGCCAATGTCTTACCTCATGTTGTCTCGGAAGGTCAGAATGCCTTTATCAAGGAGCGCCAAATTGTGGACTATATCTTACTTGGGAATGAGCTCATGCATTACCTAAAAACCAAAACTCGGGGGAAGAAAGGGTTCATGGCCCTAAAGGTTAACATGGAAAAGGCCTATGATAGAGTTTAATGGCCTTTTCTTCTTGCGGTTTTGGAAAAATTGGGGGTTAGCTCTGTTTGGGTAGGATGGATCAAGGAGTGCCTCAGCTCTGCATCATTCTCGGTTATGATGAATGGCACCCCATCTGGCTACTTTTCTCCCTCCAGGGGATTACGCCAGGGTGACCCTTTGCCTCCTCTCCTTTTTGTGCTTTGCACTGAGGGGTTTGTGGCTCTCCTCCAAAAGGCGATATCAGAGAAAAAACTGGCTGGGATTAAAGTGGCCTTGCATGCCCCAAGACTGTCGCATTTATTTTTTGCGGATGACTCTTATTTATTCCTGCGAGGCACGCTTCAGGAGTGTGAAAACCTTATTGAAGTCTTGAATGAATATGAGGAGTTGAGTGGCCAAAGGGTGAATCTAGCTAAGTCGGCGGTTTGCTTCAGCAGGAATATAGTCCAGCAGGACCAAGAATTCTTGGCGGCAATTCTAGGGGTTGGGGCCGTTGGGGTCCATGATAAATATCTGGGTCTCCTGTCTCTGATTGCCAGGTCCAAGATGGAGACTTTCCGTTACTTGGAAGCCAAAATGTTGGAAAGACTCCAGGGTTGGAAGCAGAGGACGCTTTCATGGGCAGCTAAGGAAACCCTCATCAAGTCTATTGCTCTTGCTTTACCATTGCATGTGATGTCCTGTTTCAAGCTACCTCTGTCCCTGTGCCGCCTATTGGATAAGCATGTTGCCCGGTTTTGGTGGGGTGAGAATGAAGGCCATCCGAAGGTGCGGTGGATGTCCTGGCGGGACATGTGTAGGAGTAAGCCTGATGGGGGGATGAGATTTCGCCGATTTGAGCATTTTAATCAGGCGCTCTTAGCGAAAATTGGATGGCGTATCCTTAGGGAACCCCAATCCCTACTTGCTCAAGTTTATCAAGGTAAATATTTCCCTAATGGACATTTCCTAACTGCGAAGGCTCGGTCAAGACCATCATGGGGTTGGCAGAGCATCCTGTTTGGTCGGCAACTTTTAGAGATGGGTTTACGTTGGCAAGTTGGGAATGGGCGCTCGGTATCCATGCTTCACTCTACCTGGGTCCCGGAGTTTCAGTTTGAGCCCCTGCGCTATAATCCGCAGGTTCTGCCGGCTGGAGGTGACCCTCTGGTGGTGGAATTAATTTGTCAGGGGGAGGGGCGCTGGTGTGATCAAAAGCTTAATCAGTGGTTTGATCCTGCTACTTGCCGTGTTATAAAAGCCATCCCTCTCCCGCGGGACAATGTGGAGGATAAGCTTATTTGGTATGATACAGCGGATGGGGAGTTCTCGGTTAAAACTGCGTATCATCTTACTGTCTCTTTGGAGAAAAGGAGGGGCCGTTCGAAGTCGACGGTGGATTGGATGGATAGGGCAAGTTGGATACGGTTGTGGGAGGCCAACATTCCGCCAAAACTAAAGGTGTATGTTTGGCAGTTTTCAGTCAGATCTTACCTACCACTGAAGCACTCATTAGTCGGCGTATCCCGGTTCTATCTCGGCGCCCAGTCTATTGGGAAGGGCCTGAAACCATGGAGCATTTGTTTTTGCATTGTCCGGTGGCGCATGCCCTTTGGGGGTCTGTTGGAGTGGAACACCTTGGGGAGGGCTTGCCACGACACACATTTCCTATGTTCCTTAAGAAGCTGTTGGTGCTAGTTCAGCAGCCAACGCTATGGATGGCCATTGTTGCGATTCTATGGCGGATCTGGAAGTCCCGGAATTGGGTGGTGTTTGAGGGTAAACAATATGGGCTTCCGGCTCTGATGCGGCAGTTTACACAGCAATATGAGGAATGGGCGAGACTCCTAGTGGAGGTCAATCGACAGGTCCCGGTGATAGGGAACCAGGAATCAGGTCTGGTGGATTATTTTGAGTTTGTCTGTTGGTGGGATGGTGCTACGAGGAGGGGGTCTCATTCAGCCGGTGGGCTAGTACTTATGACCCCGTCTCGAGTCGTCCTGAGTGCCATAGGGGTCCAGTTTCCTGTCTTGAATGATCCTGCGGTGGTGGAACTGCTTGTCTTGCGTGAGGCTATTCTCTGGTGTCTGGGACAAGGCTTAACCTCTGTTAGATTTGAGGGGGATGCTAAAGTTGTCATTGACCAGATCAGGCGCGTTGATACAGGTGATAGCAGGATGGGTGATGTACTGGAGGAAGTGGTGAATCATTTTGACGGTAACCGTGGGTTTAGTATTCGTTTCGTAGGTCGGAGTAACAATAGGTTAGCCCATTTGGTGGCTAGGAAAGCCCTCTCTTTGTACCCGACTATGAGTCGTGCTTTTAATTTTCAGGCCTGGCTGGTATCCAGGATGTAACTATCTCTTCTTTGGAGTCAATATAAGATTATCTTTTGTCAACAAAAAAAAAAGTGGTAGTGACTTAATTCTTTCACGAACGCATCTGAGTCAATATATAGGGTTGGTTGTATGACTTTATTAACTGGGAAGCGGCACCCTTTACGGGACTAATACACATAATATGACTAGGGATGACAATCAAATCCATGCCCATGGGTATCCGACCGCCCCCGACCCATTCAACGCTGGGAATCTCCGCATTGACCGGGTATGGGGCGGGTATGGGTAAAATCCGCAAAAAGTTTGATGGGTATGGGGCGTGTATGGTTTTAGCCTCCCCCACTGACACGCCAAAACACAACACCAAACTGCGACCAAGTGTAATCGAAGTCCGGGAAAGCAGTAACAGACAAGTTCTACTATCAACCCGGGGTCTAGATCTACTGCTTACTCCGTGATTATCTATTATCTCACCAACTAAGTCGAGTGATTGTTGTTTAAACTAAAAGCAGTAAGAAAACAGGAAATGGTTCGGTTTTCAAAAGGAGGGAAGAGTCACTCGGGAAGTGAGTCCCCCTAGCTCCTTAGTTAGGTTTCAATTATAATTACCCTGGTTCGATTTACTGTTGATTAAACTGCGGAAGATCCGACTGTAGCTTGGAATCTCTTAAGCTGACCAAGCCCTCTCAGTCTAACTACCCGGCAGACGACTACTCTTCACCGGGACAGAAAGCTGAAGCAATGAGCACAGAACTCCACTACTGGAATTGGATTCCAGTACAAAGCAGTAAACTGGCTAACTCTCGTATAACCAAACAGCTCTAACAACCTAATCAGATTCTATCTATCTCAGGTTGCAGCAGAAATCAAGAAAAGCTTATCAGACTTCAATCAATTCAATAAAACATGCATCATTCTATTAAAACCAAACAGTATAATCATCTCAAGTCATTACAATCAAATCCCTAACACATGGAACTAGGGTTCTTCATACCCAAGTGAGAGAAGGGTTCTACTCCATAGAGAGAGAGAGAAAAATAGAAATCAGAGTAGTCATACTCATAAAGATGAGGAAAATCTACTCTGGGATGAT